CAATTATTAATTCTCGTACACATAACAACGTAACAAAAACTTATCAACGCCCATTCTTGCGGTGGAAATTGATTCTTCGGTTCTAAATTTCTTGTAAACAATTTGTTCAGTTCACTAAGTAAACATGCAAGCGTGTACCATCGATGGTACACGTGGCACGGAACGTGTTAAGCTTTGCGAAAACTAATGAAACGAAGAAGATATAATACACGAGCGCACAAATTAATTTTCAAATCTGAGCAAATAATTCCGTCACTCACATAAGAGCAACGCGGCAATCAAAGTGCTAAGGGCTCGAGTTACAATAATGCTTTCTTTGCCTAATCGTACGCAAAGATAAAGAACAAAAGTCGCGCATCGAGTTCATCATTAAAGCGTAGTGAAATATGTCTGTATAGAGGATTTTCTCGCAACTAAAAGGATTCGGAGATTCAGCGACGAAGCGTTCACGTACATTTACGCTGGAAATATTCATTGCTGTTTCTAATTTATCGGTTTTAGATTTCCATTCAAAGGGAGCAAGCTCTCCGGTCCGCGCCGGACCGAAAATAAATTTACGAATCCGTTTCCTCGAAGGACGACAGCCGGGATCAAAAGGATCCCGACGCTTCTTGCTAATCAGCTTTCAGGGAACGTATTTTTCTATCGGGTTGTTAGATTACATCGGTAATATTATTTTCCCCTTTCTCGTTCGCCCGTTTCCTTTTGAAACCACCATTCCCCGTCGCGGCCGTCGAGGGACCGGCCCGGCAGCCTCTCAATAGACAGAAAATATCATATTACTTTGCAGAACGCTCACGCCGCGCCGCGCCGCGCCGCGCCGGGCGAGAAATAAAGCCCCGCGACGGCTGAAGGAGTCCTTATTATGCATGAGACAGCCGTCAAATCGTTTCGAGAGCAACGACCGTGCGCCGGTTTCTGTGCTTTTAACGAGATCTGGATGCGACGTGTCACGTAGTTGATAAGCCAGCCGGATATAAATTTTTCCCCCCCTTCGCCGCCGCGAGGTTGGCCCATCGTCGTCCTCGATCCCGCGATAAATTCTAATCAACCAGTCACAATATTTCTTCCGGCGTCACCTTGAAATATCGGCTGTTACCGAGACGTTCGAGCAGTCGGAGTATTTCGCACGCGTGTCCCAACGACGAAATCCTGCGGAAATTGCTTCACCTGCGAGGCTCGCCTTACCTTTTCCTCGTTCCTTTCACGTTAACGGTTAATGATTGACAGTTTCAGATTAGTACTGATATTGTCTTATTAGGTCATTCAGCATGAAATGCGCAGATTTTATTGTAAAATCATAGAGCAAAGAATGCATTTCGTACTTAATGACCTAATATAATTAGGTGCTTGTCGCAATGCATCGGTATCACTAGTCGATGTTTAAACTGCTGTGACTATGTGAAAAGTGATCGTGCAGTCGTCAAAATGACGGATTACTAATTTTTTCATTTACAATTATCGAGATTGCAAAGATACATTTATAAGTTATTTATTCAAAGTATGTGTTGGGTTGCAATAACACTCGGCAAGTATTACAATAACACTCGTTAAATATCGGAATAAATATTAAACGATTACCTTTTTAAACTAATAAACAGCTGCTCTTAGTGCTCCGTAAATCTAGTTATAAAACGTAACAATTCAACTTTCACGTAAATCAGTTTTTCCGAAGACGCTTTTACACGTTCACCAGTGTCACATTCTCCCTAGAATACCAAATTTCAGGTTGCTGTAAATTTCCCTACGGTAGTCTCACGCTTATGTAATTTACTGCTACGTCGATGCTAAGGTTCGACGGAGTCGGTGAAGCGTGTGATGCGGCACGCGACGCAGCTCCTATGACTCGAATTCCCGAAAGTCGACACGAAACGGTTTGTTTTGGTATGAGTCAGATAAGAAAAACCGCGGAGCAACAAGGTACGTAGTATGTAACTAGGTACGCGACCGTCGCAATCATCACTTCGTGGCCTCCGAAGTCATCGTTTTTATTCTAGCATTACTATGTATTCACATTAACACTTTCACAACCGCATGTTATTAAGGAAAGTTTTGCAAATGGCTTGCCACTGGTACCACGTGGGAGTCACCGGCAAATAGCGACTGGCCTATCAATGGTACCACGTGAGTGTCACCGGCAAATAACGACTGGTCTACCAATGACACCACATGAGTGTCACTGGCATACAACGACTGGTCTGCCCATGACACCACAGTGGTGTCAGCGGTTGTGAAAGTGTTAATATAGACCGGCATTCTGACTGCTGCTTTCTTTGCCGATTGCTGCCTTTTTTTGCCGACTGCCCTGAATTTCGTTCTATTCCCATCCTCTCTCTCTCTCTCTCTCCCTCTCTCTCCCTCTCTCTCCCTCTCTCTAGGGAGAGAGAATTCTAGAATTCTTTCTAGAAGGCCCGGAACTCGGAATTGAAAACGGTAATCGGCGGACACTCGGCACTATTCTTCGATTCTTCGCGACGCGTTTTTATAGTTGTCGTCACCTCGCGCGTGCGCCTCTGTCCCTTTCACTTTCTCTCGCTTAAACACACACACACACTCAGAGAGAGAGAGAGAGAGAGAGAGAGAGAGAGAAAGAGAGAGAGGCGCACGCCCGAGATAACAACAAGGCGAGTGACCGCCGATTACCGTTATCAATTCCGAGCTGCGTGCTTTCTAGAAAGAATTCTAGAGTTCTTTCTCCCTAGAGAGAGGGAGAGAGAGAGAGAGAGAGAGGGAGGCGCACGCGGGAGGTGACGAAAACTATAAAAACGCGTCGCGAAGGAAGAATCGTGGCGATTACCGTTTTCAATTCCGAAGAATCTCAGGGGCCTTCTAGGAAGAATTTACTGTAAGTCTTCATTCTTTTTACAACGCAATGTATTAATTGAGTTTTTCAAACTTCATCTGATTGTGTATAAATACTCATCTATTGTATAAATAATAATCTCTAATGACTTTAACGAGTTGAAAGTAGCTCACCCATATTATCCGACTCGTTTAATCTTTCTTCTGTTTTAAACTCCGCCTACTCAATCTGATCATAAATGCATAAAACGCGTAGTCTATGTATCAATGTCACTAACTTATCGATAACGAAAACCGCTGTTACTTCGTGCAAAAATATTACACAGCAGTTTATCTAAGCTTGTTTTAAAGTATGAAGCTTCAGCCTCCACGAGCTCGAGTTCACTTTTCTCAAAGATGCTTGTACATCATACAAAATCTGGGAAAACGAAATTGAGTTTTCCTTTAGAACATTTTATTAAATGGAACGTCCGTGAGACGATTGCAAAATTGTTTTCACGACTGAAATTAGCATGGGAGGGAAGATTGAAGTCCCTCTTGTACAATATTTTTAATTGCACGGTTTTTATCAAGTCTTGAATGATGTGTTCAATTGCTCTTCGATCGAATCGATGCGAGGACGAAATGATCAGTGCAATGGAAAGATAAGCAATTAAGTTCATTACTGGAGGATGCTTGTACATCATACAAGATTTGGGAAACAGAAGCTGAGTTTTCCTTTAGAACATTTTATTAAATGGAACGTCCGTGAGACGATTGCAAAATTGTTTTCACGACTGAAATTATCATGGGAGGGAAGATTGAAGTCTCTCTTGTATAATATTTCCAGTTGTACGATTTTTATCGAGCCTTGAATAATGTGTTCAATTGCTCTTAGATCGAATCGATGCGAGGACGAAATAATCAGTGCAATGGAAAGATAAGCAATTAAGTTCGTTACTGGAGGAGTTGACAAGATTGAAGATGGGAAATCACAACATGCAGAACGTAATACAACTTCTGAAGCAGTGGAAAATACGGAAGATCGAGGCGAGTGCGGATGAGACTTAAAATTACATCAAGAATAAAAATGCCACAAGAAATCGTCGACTTCTGCATCAGGAAGATGAGTTAAGATAAGTTAAATCGAGTCACTTGCACTGCTACTGCTTGACATCCGCGAAGCAGATGTTTGGATTGATTTCATGATAAACACGACTACATCCATCCAAATCCATACGCAATCACCATTATCGGAGATGCATCGATTATCGAACATATTCATATACGGTTAGCGTGAAAAGTATTCGTACATTGCATCTCAGATTTTTGCAACATGTTTTTGCATGATGTAACAGATGGCAAATTGGAGAGATGCACTTTCTAAAAAATATTGCGGATTCAAACGTCTGCAAATGCACTGGAAAATTGTTTTCATGACTGATCCTAACATAGATTTAAAGATTAGAATTCCCTCTTTGCAATGACCTATTAAACTTTGATGTATGATTTTTCTTAGTCACTTTATTGAGCTTCGAACGAGAGGTGTACTGCACTAGTAACATAAAGTTCACATAGGCTGGTTCCGTGTCTCTATTTCATAAAATGATTAAAAAAGTAATAGTTCAATTTGTTACGTTTCCAAGTAAACGTGTCTTCAAGTTCTCTATTTGCTTGAGTTATAAAAGCATGATAGGAAGAACTGATCGACCAATTGCGAAGCTTGAAGAGTCTTCAAGCTTCAAAATAAGTTCAGAATTATTATGATACGACTCGTAGTTACGAAATTAAATCAGCTTAAATATCGCCGACTCGTAAAAAAATCTTAAATTCAGTGTTCGAATGTTTTTTAGGCTGACTATATAGGGTGTCCCAAAAATGTCTCACAATCTGAAAGTGGCGGGTTCCTCAGGTCATTTGAAGCAACTTTTTCCTTTAGAAAAATTTTCTCCGAGGCACTACTAACGAGTTATTAACGAAAAACTGTGACCAATGAGAGGCGAGCTCAGCTGGCGCGAGGCGACCGAGCCGACGGCGCCAGCGGTCGAGGCGGTCGAATCCCAGCTCAGCTGGCGCGAGGCGACCGAGCCAATGAGCGGAACTGGGTTCCGTGCGCTGGTTGGCTGGGCCGCCTCGCGTCAACCGTACTTGATTCTTATTGGTCGCTGTTTTTCGTTAATAACTCGTTAACGGTGCCTCGGAGAAAATTGTTGTAAAGGAAGAAGTTGCTTCAAATGATCTGAGGAACCCGCCATTTCCGGATTACGAGACACTTTCGGGACACCCTGTATACATTCGTTGCATATATTTTCGAACCTACGCTTCTTCGATATCGACATAGCCAATTCCATTCGGCTAACTGCAAACAGCGAATGATTTCATCTCTCCTGCGCATAAACTATGTCGATGAAACGTTCGCAACTCTGAATAAAAACGGACCACCGTCAAAGACTTAAAGAGTTACGAAGCTAATAGACTGTCCCGGCTTCTGAGACCAGCTCGGAACAACTGAAAACGAGCTCGGCGATCGGCGAGTCCCGAAAAATCGCGGTCGGTTAATGGAATCGGGGAACAAAAGGACTCGAGGGCGGTGTAAACACCGGGAAAACCCTGCGCATAGTTTTATTGGTCGGTAGAAGGGAAGGGTTTTTGCCGGGCGACTTTCGCAGTGGGATTCTCGTGTAACGACATTGCGGCGGACTAGATTCAGCCGGTAGTCAACGGTGACGGCGCGGCGCAAAAAGGCCGGAATACCCGGGCTTTTTTTCGGGAAAAGTTCCATTCCGTGGTCGTCATCTCGCAGACCATTTCGCGGTAAAAGTGGCGAGCGCGCCGCGAACGAGCCAGCCGTCCCCGACGGAGGGTCGTTATCCCCGTGATTACAAATTTGTGGACCTGCAGAGGTAGCTCGTTTATGTTCAAACAGAAACGATACGACGAGGCCGGGAGGATGCGGAAGCATTTGCTCGACGAACAAGACCCGGGGACCCGGGCGGATGCGGGGATGGAGGAGAGACGCTTTCGAATGTGAGTATTGTACGTTTTATCAATGGATTCCGGGATATATTGTCTCTCCACGTGAGTGATGCCGCATTGTGCGTCGTGCCAGCGGGGAAGTTGCTGATTGAAAATGCACGCCGAGCTTCTCCAACCCATGCGGAGATAAAAGTGAGGGAACGGACACGAGCGCGGGGACGTGAAACCTATCGGCGAGACGATTTCGGGCGGACAACGGAAGTGAATCGCGGTTACGTCGATCTTCGTCGTCGCTTTGCTTTGCTTCGAGATCGCCCGTTTAGGACAGTTTTCTTTAATTGTTGCTGACAAGTCGAGTGGACGTCTTTGTGACTATTTTGTGGTGCATCGAAGAATCCCTAAAGTTTCGATGAAAAATACTTTGGATACAGTAATCGATCGAGAAAGGACTTCCAAGAAAATATAAACATAAAAGGCGAACCAGAAGTAAGTATGATTTCTCAAGATATAATTATTTGGTTCAGTTAAGCGTAGGGCTATTGAAAAAAATTTTGGGGCGCACGATTTTGGAAACCAAAAAATATTGCTCACCTTTTCGACACCAAGAAAAGACGAACAATTATATTTTAAGGAATCGATGCGTTTGTATATATTAATATTTTTCATTAAAACTTTGAGAAGTATTATCAATTAAAATATAATCTCTGGTTGATAAGAATTATTGCTAGTGCACTATTTGATGAAGCAGATGTATCTATTTCCTCATTATGAAACAAGAACATGTACTCAATAGTATAATATAAGAATTGAATGAAAGAAAAGATATACTGAATTAAAAATTAGGTGACATTATTTGAAAATAATCACTTTTTTACTGTTCTAACGAAGACATTCGCCTGCGAAAAGAAATGTGAAATCGAATTTTAAAATAAAAATGATGAAAATTAAGAGTTTTGGTAACATTCATTTCAACTCTTTAACGTCGGTGCCATATAAAAAAGAAACTAGTTGTGCCTAAATTGCAATATGTACGATATAATAATAAATAATACCTTGCAATTTTGTATCGATGTACTCATATGATAACAATGTTACGGTAGTGTTAAAAATTAATGTCACGTCGTTAATTTTATTCCGACTATAACATAATATAGATATGAATATAACATAATATTTTCGTATTAACCACTTGACATACGAATAAAATGTGCATCGACGCGTCCGAAGAATACTATTTAATTTGGCTCAACTGGACACTCATGTACAAGCTCAGAAACAGGGCCTTTTCTTTTTAAAGTTACATTGCTATATAACATTCAATAGGGTTGAAGTATAGTGTTAGTGTACAACAATTAAGTAATAGTATAAAATAATAATTTAATAATTTTGTAATGTGTGATACATCTCAAAGCATTTAGTAATATGTAGCGGAACGAGGCATATTTTACACTGCCAAATTGTTTCACTTCTTATATTATGTTTTACGCAAACATGGCATCTTTTTGCAGGATGTTGCTTTTTATTTGTCGCGGGTATATGTTCAGGAAAATGTGTCCAATATTTTGCTTGTAACCGAGTTGGGCATTCACTTTGCGACCGTCTGCCGCGTGTTGGTTAGTCCGGCAGGGACAAATTACAAAGCATATCTTCTGCAATATTCAATCGAAAATTCACAATCGATTGCTTTTGTGAAGTAGGCAATTTGGAATATAAAACATAAGCATTATAAATAGCTACATCAAACATATAAAAAAATATTTTTTTATATCCTTTTGCACATTTTCTCATGAGGGGGAAACATGCAAGAGATTGGTCCTGCTTGTCTACACCTCCCATTCCACGATTATACTCCAGAACACAGGTCGGTTTTATTTGTCGATGCAATTTTGTTTATCGGTACTGTTAGGAGGGGGAAAGCATCTCCAACAGTCTAAACAAAACAGCATCAATGCACGACCGAAACAATTAAAGAATCTAATAATGAAATGCACGGCGTTCGCCGAATACAGTTCTTGACGTCTTGGAGACGTCAAAGTCTACAATGGCACATGAAGTAAATGACGTCTCCCAGACGTCATTGTATGTCAAGTGGTTAATGTAAAACAGATACAAGTCCGTATTTCACATGAATACCCTCGTAGAACGGATTCAGACACATTGATGTTACAGCTGCGACGTGGTCATCGAATCGTCGCAAACACTTTCGTTCCGCAAACAGTAGGACGTATTTCTGCGGGCTGGTCGCAGCAGCATAAGCGTGGCTTAACAAGCCGAAAGCGACGACGGAATTCGCGACGCGGAAAGTGCATTTCGGCAGGTCCCGTCGCTCCTGCTGTCACAATCCTCGTTACGAGTCCCTCGAAGGGCATCATTATTGCGTGGCAATAAAGGGGGAACCGGTGGCATTCGAAAAAAGGGGTTGACAAGCGTTCCCCAGAGCGCCGGGAGACGTCTCCGGCGAGGTCTCGTGTCTCTCCTACTTTCCATTCTTCCCTTGTTCCGTTCCACGGAAGATCAGCGCGGCCGGGGCTTATCGCCGCATGAATATGTATAGGAGAGGAGATCGGTCTCCGGATCTACCCCCATAACCCTCCGGACCCCGTGGCGAGCTTTCAAGGAGGCCCCGAAACTCTCCGAACCGATGGGAATGACCGCGAACGAGACGCCGAGAAATTAACGAGTGACCGGATATTACACGCGGGGATAAACAGAGTGTTGTGGAGCAGCTGCGGCGACGACGCTTATCCGACCGGATGCAAATCGAGGGAAATTTTCGGTCCGGGAACTTCTCGGGAGCCTGATGGTATTATATTACAGTCCCTGGTAATTTAATTGGGACCGTGTGGAAACACGGTATCTTCCGTATCTTCCTCAAGATGCACGCGTAATGATTAATCAACTGCAATGGCTTATTGATTTCATGCGTTTATGATCAAATTGACTATGTGAAGAATTTAAGAACACTCTTACATTCTCCTTACTTCAACGAAATTATTCGAAGAAAAAGTACCGTCTTATTTGGCTTCTGCTTTGAACAATTGATTCGGAAAATGATTATTTTGCACAAAGATTCGCAGTCTAGTTATCACAATATAAAATATCATTAACAATTAATTCGTGCCGATACTAACAATTACAGAGAGAGAGAGAGAGAGAGAGAGAAAGAGAGAGAGAGAGAGAGAGATTAAAAAGGTATAATCTCTTATTAAAAGAAAATGTACCGTCTTATTTAGCTTCTGCTTTGAACAATTGATTCGGAAAATGATTATTTTGCACAAAGATTCGCAGTCTAGTTATCACAATATAAAATATCATTAGCAATTAATTCGCACCGATACTAACAATTACAGATTAAAAGAGTGTAATCTCTGAAATCTGAAAAAACAGATAAACAGATTCACCAAGCAAATCGAATATTATCGCAACTATAACGAAGATCACACACAAGTTACTATACTATAATATACAATGATCTAATGCAACAATATAAGTCAAGTCTCCTCGTGTCACTGAAAACCGTTAACAAATTAACTCATAATCCCACGAGGGAACTGACTGTAGATGCTCTAAGTTAATAAAATAAAAAGAAAAGAAAAAATCTAGTGCTAAGATTGCAATAATGGCAGAAATAATTTAACCGTATATCTAATGCAAAATAAAAATTGTCCGCATCAACTGCACAGAAATCGTTTTCTCGTTCACGCAGTGTCGCCACTAACAATTTCTAGTGCTTTTTTTCTATGATTTTACATTTTCTCTAGACATACAAAATCATTGACTCGGGCGTTTAAATACCCGTGAACATGCGCAATGATTTACCTCGAATTTTCGCTCGCTGACAGCGTTTCGCAAGAAAAGGGGATAGCGAAACGGGGACGTCGGATCCACACCATTGAATTTTAACGATGCCACCGCCGTTTCGAAACGTATTTCCAGCGCGGCGAATCACGCCGGTGTCTTTTCGAACCCTCGATTTCATCCGGGGTTCGCACGTCCTTTTTACCGTGCCTGGCCAGCACCAGCGCCGGTATCTCGCAGAATGTGGCTAATCCATGACGCCCCCGAAGATGCCATCGGGAGCATCGCCTGCGGCAATCGTTATACGTCTGGCAGAAATTTCATGGAATACCATCTCGATGGGATTCGAGGCTGTAACTCGGCGTAACGCTACCGTGGAAAAAAGTTTTACGCGTTACGAAGACAGTTCGCCCGGGATCGCCATCTTTATTGCCGTGATTACCGGAACTTTCGCAGGGACAGGGGGAGAGGGAGAGAGAACGATTCATCGGGAAGATTATGGTGCCCGTTATTAACTGAACCTGACGGTGGATTTACGGTTCCGCTGTTGCTGCTTGAAAGTTAACGAGTTTTAAGTTGCCCGGGCAGAACGTGGAAAAATGCGGCACAAGGAATCTAAAATTCAAAGTGAAAATCTGTCTCCGTTCTCTGTTAATTACCTGCATTTCACTGTGATTTAATCCCTCGGAAAATTGGGTCCAGGATAACGTAACGCGGTCCCTGAAAATGACAGAACTTTGTATTTTCCACTTTCTAGACACGGTTGTTTCATTCCTGCGAACATTTTATTATTTCTGCGAGGAAAAGTTGATTGCACGCATTCGATTATACGCGCTCCATAAAATCCCATAGAAATTAGATTGAAAAATCCACTCGTTGCTGTACAGCAAATTTTCGTAAATGCATGTCGTTCCGAGCTTCAAAGTGTATCCCCTTGAGATAGATGCGGAGGTATGTTCAATTTTATTGGAAGGAATTGAGAGGACCTCCAGAATTCGCATCGATTGGTCCGCGTTTTATGGCGGAGCCGTTTCCCTTTCACAGCAACGAGTGTCTCTCCTCGAGTCCATGAGCTGAGTAATGGCAGGGCGAGATGAAAATGGACGCGAAACCACGAGTTTCGACGAGCCAGAAGTTTCTTGCATCCGACAGCTTAACGCAGATAATTTCTCGTTAAAAAGATCGTCGATGCTCCCCGGCTAAAATTCAGTTACAGATTATTACTAACTTTCCTTTATTTACTGTAACGTAATTCAACGCCCGGTAAATTGGCCGGGATAACTTTCCTCTGGATTCAAACGAGCTATTATGTCAAGAATTTTTCTTGATCTAACGAAAAATTACCTTAATTTCATGAGAAATTTCTCTCCATCGTGATAACAGTTGCTCTTATTAACAGTTATGCATTTATGACAAAAATCTATAGATCGAACACAAAATTGTAACTATGATGCATTAGAAAAATTTAATAACACCGCTACGTTACGTTTAATTTATTGCAATTATTAAAAGAGGAAAAACATCTCTTCATCTAATTTATGTTTCTTACTTAGACAATTTTCGTTTTGCATAAAAATCCGCAATACAATTCGAGGAAATGTTTCATCGTTCGCCAATCGATCTTCTGTTTATTGCGCGCGTAAACATATTTTGCATCCATTTAACATTAAAAGCCTCTGAATAATGGC